ATTATTATTATTATTATTATTATTATTATTATTTCGTGCTTACACCTTGTTTATTTGCGCCTTATAAATTGACCTATTATTATTATTATTATAAAATATAGATTTTTTTTTTCATTTTCTAACGAACATTACAAGTTCCCTTTTTGAGTTGAGCAACCAAATGTTGATTGACGTCTGTATACGCGCGTCTGTAAAGTTTCCTTGAAACCCACCTTCGAGCATGCAGAAAAAATTGCCTGCATTCGTGAATTCTGTATTTAGGCATATGGTGGGAGGTAGGCACTCTTAATGGAGCGACGTTTATGCTAACCACAAAGATGTATAGTAAGTGTAACTGATTGGTTTACAGTAAACCTTCAAACTAACGTAATATAACCACATTTAAACTCTAATTTAACGAAAACAATAAGATACTTATTGGGCCACTTTTTTTAATAAAGTTGTCTGAAGGTTAACTACAGAATTTACAGTACACTGTAGTTAATGTGTTATAGGTTGTAAAAACTGTATTGAGTAAAAAAAATATTTCGAAATAAAAAAAATCTTTCGCTTGACATTAGGAATTAATCATTTGTGAAACAAAATGGTAGGCTATGTCAAGTGTTATATTGAACAGTGGCAGATTCAAGGGGAAACCCAGTCAGCACGGGACCCATCCCATTTTTTTTCCCAAAATTATTTTTAAAAATGGAGAAAACAGACAAAATCGTATTCAACTTTTAATCTGAGAGTGCCATTTCCGGCCATCTAGAGGTACCATAATCATATTTTTTCTTACCTCAGCCCCAACAGTTGTGGGGCTAAGGCGGGTGGACATTCTATTTACGCAAGACTCTCCCTGAAACCCCTCTGTTTCGACTTCCTTGACCCGCCACAGTTGGAGTATCATTTCTGAGCTACATAGAAGGGTAATTTTTATCCATCGGGGGAAAAGTGAAGTTTTCGTCGGGGAACCCATATCGAGGATAACCTTCATAATAAATAATACATTGAGGTCGTGGAAGCAATCTCGACTTTGACTTTGTTCGGAAGTCTGTGGCGCGTTCAAGGGGAGGGGGGAGCCTAAATTGTTCAATTTTTTGTAATGGAGATATAAAGAAAATTATATTCAAATTTTAAGTCTAAGAGTGTAATTTCCGGCAATTTAGAGCTGCCATTATCACAAATGTTTTTACCTCAGCCCCAACCATGGT